AAATCGCCGCCTCCAACCGGAGGCGGCATTCAGAGGTTGGTTTTCGATACTTGTAAACCGAATTAAATGCTGAATTCACATTTTATCAATAGTACAACACCTTTAGTACTCACCAACATCGTTTTTATGTTTCGTTTATGAAAAAATATAATCCGATCGGATGAACACATTTTATCTGACCATGCTGACTGTCGAGATCTGTTTTCATTTCGTGCATTTTAAAATCGTGCAAGTTCTGAATCGGAATGTGGAGTGGTAATTTCTATTCATCGATATTGGTGAGTTCTAGGAGCATTGTGCCATTGATAAATTGTGATTTCGGCATCTAATTCGGTTCCTAAGTATAAAAAAATCAACTTCGGGGGGAGATGGTGAAATTCCCAGTTTTCGTAATGGCGCCGGTTCTGACGTTTTCCTGGCATGTAAAATATCAAAATCGTAAAAAAGCCAGAAAAACGTCAGATTTTTCGGACTACATGTCTCGAAGAAAAGCGACACGTACAGGTTTGTCTTATAAATATAAATTCGCTTGTCTCATGAACAATGTTGCCATACTTGTTTTAAAAAATAATTTTATTTAATTCCATGACACGGAAATTAAAATTATCGATTTTCATCGTGATATGAAATCCTCCCTTTTAAAATTAAATTTATAATATATATTATATAGCCATGATTATCTTGTCATTTATTTAATTATTTCATAGATTGATTATATTTATGGCATATTCTTATGAATTAAAAAAAGAAAAGAACGATTTGATTGCTTCTTTATCACGTTGGCATATGCGGTAGGCATCAAAAGCTAATTCGATGGTCGGTACGATCTCCAGACAAGGTACACAAGATATACACAACACCAGCAAACTAAATGTCAATCAAATCAAAGTATCCAATCCCAAGCTTAATTTCAGATGGTTGACAGGGGTTCTAAGACCAGGTAAATTTGAAGGAGGTGCTTATTTCCTCCCCCTTTAATATCTTTTCTTTTAGTACTTATGTAAGTTGCTAGTATAGTATATGTGTATATATATAGAATAAAGTTAATCCACAAAGGTGATGCTGTGTATAGAAAATACATTTAGAATATCTTAAAATTATGTTGAAAGTAAGAAAAAATACCTCGTTGTTGATTATCTATAATGAACTTCGTCGATATTTATTCAGAAAAATTCGTATTTTAAAGTTTTGGTTAAAAATATTGGAGTCCGAAAATTGTATATTGAAAAGTATTTATTGTAAAATATTTAATGTAAGTTTTTTTTACTATTTTCATTAGAGTTTGGAGAATTTTAATTATGTCAAAATATTACAAACAAAAATATATACACTTTTCAATTTTTTAAACCAAAGATCAACTGTTTTCAACAAAAATGTGTTTGTCTTACTTGTATACTTAGAGTATCCCCTAGTCAATGTCGTGTCCGGAGTTAGATGTCATACTGTTATATTCATTTAAAACCCCTATCACACCGGGGCTGCGTCCTCACGGCGACTGTACGGCGTTCTCAAAAAATGCCGAGGTGATCGCAGTAGAGTCTCCTACAACGCTGTGACAACGCGGCGAGATCTCCACTGAATGCTGTAGGGTCGCGTAGGGTCTCCTAGAACGCCAGGGGTCACGGCGATCACTTTGGGCATGCACAAAGTACGCGCCCTGTGATCGCAGTCTGATAAGAACGCAGTAGAAACGTAGTAGGATCGCCGTAGCAGCGCGGTGAGATCTCCAATAACGTAGTGGGAGCTCCGTATGAACGTATGAAGACGCACAGATCGCGGCACGAACGCAGTGATAGTAGACTGCGCTTCCACGGAGATTTCGCGGAGTCCTTGGAGATGTCACTGCGTTTCTATCGCGTTTTTACGGCGCTTCTAGTGAGATTTATCGTCTTGTGATTTTTTCGACTGCGATTACACGGCGACAGCATGGAGTTGTCACTGCGATCATTGCGCTCCCATGGCGTTTCTACGGCGTCCGTTGGCGATCACAATGCGCTTTCACGGCGTTGTTAGAGCGTTGTCAGCCAGCTCACAAAGCAAGAGCAATGGGATCATATTGGATCAGCAATGATTCCAACGTTGCACTTGGAGCATTTAATGAAGTGAAGAAAAAAAAATGGAAGAGAAAATTACACTAGAACTTGTTCTCTAGTTTCACTTTAATTTTGTAGAACAGTGTGTTTTTTTTACATTCATAATAAAATCGAGAAAAAATCTAGCAACACATCTTAACCGATAAAATTGAAGAAAATGAGTTGAATCATAAAACTATTAAATAATTTAGTACTAAATTATTTAAATAGAACATTTTTGATTATTAAAAATATTTCTTGGTATGTCATGATGATTAGAGGTCTTTTCATCATGTATCTTGAATTTTTAAACAAAAATGTTTTACAGTCCTTCTGAATACATATCAGTGAGTATAGAACGCATTGTGAACGTATTGTGAACGCAGCCAGGGCAGTGATAGTCCGGAATATCTGACGTTTTCCTGGCTTTTTGACGATATTGATATTTTACGTGCCAGGAAAACGTCAGAACCGGCGCCATAACGAAAACTGGAAATTTCGCCGTTTCCATTTTTTATACTTGCGTACCGAACTAAATGCCAAAGTCAGAAATTATCAATAGCACAATGCCTCTAGTACTCACCAATATCGATGAAAAGAATATTTCACTCCACATTTCCTTCCAGTACTTGCAAGATTTAAAAATGCACGAAATGAAGTGAAGAAATCGACACTCTGATAAAATGTTTTAAACGGATTGTATACTGTACTACAGATAATAATGACTTTGAAATTTAATTCGACTTGCAAGTATCTAAAATCAACTCGAGAATGCAGCCTCCAGTTGGAAGCGGGGATTTCCCAGTTTTCGTAATGGCACCGGTTCTGACGTTTTCCTGGCATGTAAAATATCAAAATCGTATAAAAGCCAAGTAAACGTAAGATATTTCGGACTAGCGCAGTGAGAACGCCGTGAACACGAGGTGAAAACTCCTAACGCGCCGTGAAAACTCAGCGGAAGCGCAGTCAATAGCCGAGAGATCTCCGTGGGAACGTAGTAGAACGCCTTAGATCGCCGTAGAATCGCGTCCGTCGCCGTAAGGACACCGTGACATCTTCAAATTGTGAAAATTTTACAGAAATTTGTGCAATTTTCCTGCGATTCCATGGCGATTTTAAAAAGTTGACAACGCCGTTATGACTCCGTGTGAACGCAGCTTGGTGTGATAGAGCCTTAAGGAATAAATAAACAAACAATAAAAAACAAATCTACCAATACTCTGCAAGGAGATTTAGATTTCAGAAGTCCTAGATCAAAGGAACTATCATTTTTCACAACTAGTTTATCCTTTATTGATGTAATGGTGTTTTACGGTATTTTTTTCAGGTGTTATTTTCCTACTACTTGCTGTCTCATGGAACGTTTATTTTGCCTCGACGTCATCTCTTACCTCTAGCATCCCTGTCTTAATTTTAATTGCTTCAGAGACACCTACCACCACTACTGTTACATCTGCTTCAGCGACACCTACCACGTCTAATGTTATATCTGCTTCAGAGACATCTACCACGTCTAATCTTACAACTGCTTCAGAGACACCTACCACGTCTAATGTTATATCTGCTTCAGAGACATCTACCACGTCTAATCTTACAACTGCTTCAGAGACATCTACCACGTCTAATGTTACAACTGCTTCAGAGACATCTTCCACGTCTAATGTTACAACTGCTTCAGAGACATCTACCACGTCTAATCTTACAACTGCTTCAGAGACATCTACCACGTCTAATGTAACATCTGCTTCAGAGACATCTACCACGTCTAATGTTACAACTGCTTCAGAGACATCTACCACGTCTAATCTTACAACTGCTTCAGAGACATCTACCACGTCTAATGTTACATCTGCTTCAGAGACATCTACCACGTCTAATGTTACAACTGCTTCAGAGACATCTACCACGTCCAATGTTACAACTGCTTCAGAGACATCTACCACGTCTAATGTTACAACTGCTTCAGAAACACCTACCACGTCTAATGTTATATCTGCTTCAGAAACACCTACCACGTCTAATGTTTCAACTGCTTCAGAGACATCTACCACGTCTAATGTTACAACTGCTTCAGAGACACCTACCACGTCTAATCTTACAACTGCTTCAGAGACATCTACCATGTCTATTGTTACATCTGCTTCAGAGACATCTGCTTCAGAGACATCTACCACGTCTAATGTTACATCTGCTTCAGAGACATCTACCACGTCTAATGTTACAACTGCTTCAGAGACATCTACCATGTCTAATGTTACAACTGCTTCAGAGACATCTACCACGTCTAATGTTTCAACTGCTTCAGAGACATCTACCACGTCTAATGTTACAACTGCTTCAGAGACATCTACCACGTCTAATCTTACAACTGCTTCAGAGACATCTACCACGTCTAATCTTACAACTGCTTCAGAGACATCTACCATGTCTAATCTTACAACTGCTTCAGAGACATCTACCACGTCTAATGTTACAACTGCTTCAGAGACACCTACCACATCTAATGTTACAACTGCTTCAGAGACATCTACCGCGTCTAATGTTATATCTGCTTCAGAGACACCGACGGGATGTAATGTCTCAGGAAAATTTTGTCATAACAATGGACACTGCTACTTTGACACATTCCTAAATCAAACAGCTTGTAGGTAGGAGGCTGCGATAAAACAAAATCAAAGTTCAAAATGTTGGAAAACCCTTTTTAAGATCTCTTCCAAGTTTTGATTGATTGATTATGTTTTAATGTTTTATTTGTGAAACAGTTTTTTTTACATATAAACACGTAGGACAAAATATAAACCACGTACATATACAAACAAATGCAAACATACTCTCTCTCACACCCTACAATTTCCACATAATGATCTTTAATAATATATATGAAGAACATTACAAAGGACACTCTAACGTTAAATACCACAATTGTAGATGTGAGAAGAGTCTGGTGACGATATACTACGGGCCAAAGTGCGAGGAGAGGACAGGGACGATGGAGTTTGTTGTTGGTCTGTCTGTTGGTGGCGGAGGATTCCTTATAATTGTCATCATACTTATCATCTGTTGTAGGCGATCCTCTAACAATGAACGAGACAAAAGGTGAGATTATCTGATATGAACATAAATTTCAAAGAACAATATCATTGATGCTATTTTGTTATATTTTCAACGTCAACTAATCATTGTCTTTAGGAAAAAGTGAATGATTCTTTACAGACTTGGATTCACTAGTAAAGAGGAAGATTTCTCTACAAGAAAACTAGACATTAGAGACTTTAACTCTAGTCTACAATTAAAAGAAGATTCAACGAACTTGTACAGATACACTGGTACCCCAGGAGTGACTAATCAGGTATGTCCGAAGATTTTTATCAAGCAATTTTTACATTTCTGTGTGGATAAAAGCTTAAAAGCAGCAATCTTAAATAATGCATTATGACTATTTACTCTTCCTTGACCACTTAATGAAATTTGATGAAATTTTCACAAAGTGTCGCCGAAATATGGCTGAAATCTTGCCGACTCGGCATTAAACAATAACAATCAAACATATTACATAATGCCACTGTGCACATACTTTTTTTTTTACTTTTTGACACTTGTTTCGGGTCTGGTATAACAAAACATGGACTTTGCCATTTTAATCATATGGGAAGCAAGGGGATTTTATTTTGTGAGCTAAGTGCTCACAATACCACTTGTTTGAAGACAACGAACAGAAATCGACCTCAAGCATTAAATATACATGTACAATAGAATTCTGTGAAGAGGACATAAACACGGACACCGTGGAACTTCAGAGGGAGGATCAGATGTCCAAAGGAGTAAACATCCCCTGCTGATCAGTCGTTTCAATACAAAAGATAAATTATATAGAAGATGATGCTTAATAATTGGATGGGTGGGGTGACGTCCTAAACATAGATTTTGAGTAACTAAAACCAAAACATTTCTAGTATCAAACTTAAATTATTGTTAGTTTATTGTACGCTATTTTCAGTTATGTAACTTTGATTATATCATGCAAAAAGAAAGAAGTCATTAGATCACCTTTAAATTTTTCATAATAATTCCAAATTCAAGCATGCAAGCAATGCACTGTTCTAGGTATTTAATTACATCGAACAGTTAAACTGTTGTATTTGCTCGTAGAATTGAAAACTCGTGATGAAAATAAAAAAGGTAATGATTTCAGGCGTATGAACTTCTTTGGAATCAAAGTCCCAGGGTTCCAGAGTTAGAGATGTACCCACCGCTGTATAAATCACAACCCTCCCACAGACTGTACGGTGAAGAACGGGTATCAATGACTAGCATTGATTCAACCAGAAACGTGAGTACTTTATCATTGAGCTTTATTTTGGCCTCCTATATGCAGTGACTAGCATAGATTCATCCAGAAACGTGAGTACTTTGTTTTCTTGCTATATTTTGACCTCCTATATGCAATGTACTTTTTCTGTTGGAGGACTGTGGCAACGCACTTTGAAAAAATTACGCACTTTGAAAAAAATTTTCAAAGTGCGTTAAAATTGGAAGAAAATCAACGCACTTTGGAAAAATTTTTCAATGTTGTAACAGAGGACTAAGATAAGTTAAATGCATGAAATAAATTGGAAATAACGAACAGTATTCAAACTCAAAAAGTCCATTAAACAACACAAAATAGGAGCAGAGAAAACACGGGCCCAAGTGTCCATGTGTATCATGTAACGTGCAAGATGCAACTTAAGTCAATATCGAAGAAAAAATATGTTTAAATGTTCATGTCCACCTGCATGTCGAAAAATAACAAAATTATGAAGAAATGCTTTTTAAAAATAAGTTTCATTGTACTTGAAACTTTATTTTGTTACAGAAAATTAGAGTCATGAATGTCTGTATACTATTGAAACATTTTTGGACCTAATGTTATTTGGATGTTACAATTGTTCTGCATTATTTTGATCGAAAAAATGTCTTATTTCATTTGTCATCTACGCACAAAATTCCAAATTAACCACTTTAAAATTTACGACTTTCCAACTTAATACACAACCATTCCCCACGATTAATTTAAGTCACTGTTTTTTTTATATCATTGATAGCTGCTTTTGCAATTAAAATGGAACTCGTAAATTTACTCACCTGGTAATTGTTTATTTTGAATATTTTCTGAACCCATTCGGATTGCACAAACAAGTACTCTGAGTTAACATTAAACAGATGCTTGAGTTTCTGATTGACAATAGCTGTTGTTTTTGTAGACTGGGTCTTCCGACAATCTACTGGAATTCCCATGGGTACCAATTGCGCTCTTTTATAAGCAGACCTATTTTTGTATTTGTATGAAGCAGAATTTTTGCAAAATCTTAATCTGAAAAGAAGAAAAATCTTGCTGTGGCCTTCAACTCGACATTTAGATATATCGACGACGTATTGTCAGTATTAACAATTGTTATTTTCATTCTTATGTCGATACGATGTGTCCTGGTGAGCTTGAGATAAAAGATACCACAGAGTGTGGCACAATTGTTTCATACTTGGATATTTTACTTGAAAAAAAACGCTTATGGTAATCTAACGACCAAGCTCTATGATAAATGTGATGACTAACTTTTCTATCGTCAACTTCCCTTTCTCATACAGAAGTATACCTTCATCACCTGCATACGGAGTTTACATCCCTCAGTTGATTCAATACGCAAAAGCATGCTCTACGTATGAACAATTTCAGAAACGAGGTAAATTATTGACTTAAACAAGATGATGAAACAAGAATATCAGCAGTCTCGTTAAAAGTCATCATTTCGTAAGTTCCATGGTCGATACAATGACCTTGTCAGCAAATACAATTATCACTGAGTCAAATGCTGACTGACGTTTTTCATACTTATGTTAGTCCATGATTTATACATTGAATTGACGAAGGAATTTTGTTATTTCACGATCATGACAAGGAGCACACGGCTGGTGTGACCGGTCGGATGCTCACTCCTCCATGGCACCTGATCCCACTTCTGATGTTTTGCAGGTCCGTGTTAGCTCTGGTCCTATTTTGTATTGTTTTATGGACTTTTATATTGAATACTATTCGTTATCTCCATATCCTTCATTGCGTTAAAATATTCTAATGCTACACACATGTGTTCCGAGGTATTTCAACTTTTCAATTGTTAACTCTTATTTATATGGCAAAAATCATTAAGACCTGTATTTGTGATATTGTTTTCCAAGTTGATTCGATAAGCAAGGCCATGTTTTACATAAAACAATTTATAAAACAAGGAAGGCTTTTGACAAAGTGGTGATATACGACTATCAACAATCTTGTTACATTCAACTTCAGCGAATTCTTTTGTCTATAAATGACCTTGTTAGCAAATACATTATATCGTATCGAATGTTCTTTCTTTTACAAACTGTAAGGTCATTATTTTCTCACTTAATGGTCTACAGATCATTATTTACAGTTTCTATTTGCCCGATCATGATAAGGAGCAAATGTGACCAAGGGATGCATACTTCTCTATGTCACCTGATTCCACCTTTGTTTTGATAGGTTCATATTGGCGCTGTAATTGATAACTTGTTATGTTTCAATGGACCTTTGAAATATCTCTTTGATGTCTTCATAATTCATGTAGAAATAATCTTTTTCTCCCCATTTCTGTACCAAGCAATTAAAAAGCAATTCTTTTCCTTCTTTTCTTGGTTTAACTATAATTTCGGTTTTTTCCTGAACCGAATATTTCTACAAACAAAAAATCTAACATCTGAAGTACTTGTACATAAGTTGTAATATAGAAATAGGAGAAAATAAGTATATGATTAACAATACATGTGTATTCATTTCAGTTTTCCATCAAGAGGCCACATATTTACAGTGAACCCATGGAGAATTTTGAAAGTCCTTATGTCAGCAGGGAGTCGTATCTCTACAAACCACAAACGGTGAGAAAACATAGTAATGCACGCAAGGAAAGAAACGGTAAATATTCTGTGTTCAAGAAAATTAGAAAAAAACATTCATAGATATTTTATTATTTTTAATCAATATGTTACATACATCTTACAGGGAATAAGACCAGCAGCATCCACGTTTACCATGACTGAAAACAGAACTCCATTCTGAAACTGAGAATACGGAACTGCATTCTACAATTCTAGAAAAGGAATTGGGAAAATATTATTTGTTTCATATCATAACCCGAATTTCATTTCATTTGTTTAGCTGTTAACGGCATAATAAACAGTCATTTATTACTTTGTTAAATGCGATACGTGTACAGTGTATATTGGAATGTACATACATAAATATAGGGACATTGTTCGGTTTAATGTCGAGTACTTCAACAAATTACTTACAATCAACATAACATTAAATCTACAACGAACTGTTTTTGTAATATTTGGAAATATGATTTTATTTTTTTTTATTTTTCTAGAAATAAACATTTAGAGGTACTCGAATGTATTTCTTCTTTGTCATATATACTTCTTTAATTTTTTTTTATTGTAAATTTCAATTGTTGGGTTGTAGTTATTGTATTTAAGCAGCGATTTTAAATAATAGTCATTTTAAACTAATACATCTTTTGTCTTCTAATAAAATAAAATTTTGTCGATAAAATTTAAATTGATGACTAGAAAGCATACCTTCGGCGTTTATGCAATTTTTCACACAAGCCACTCGATTAATCACATCATGAAACCAAACAAATAACCTTGTTTTAGAAATTGTACATACGTAGAGCATGTTCTTAGGTATCGAATCAGCTGAAATGATTCTTTTTTTATGAATTAGAAATATTACTTTTTGAATTTTTTTTGTAAACAAAACTATAGAATATCCTATATATTCATTAATGTCGTTAAAATGTTGACTAACTATAGTTATCTGTTACTTTTTTTTAAGGTAACGTCTGATCATAAATTATGTCATGCAATCTCTTCAGGAAAATCTGGAATGTAAAAAAGAAAATATATCTGTTATCAAAGTTCTACCTGTCTAATCGATAACCAAACGTATTTTCTTCAAATCGGTTCATGTTTGCAAAAGGCTATCTGCAGGGCGTCGACATAAAGTTCTGTAAGTACATTCTTCCATTTATAAAAAGAGTGAATCTGTAAATTTGCTCTATTAGAAGCCATATATCATTATTGTTGCTTTATCACGTTTCACCTGACCGAGCAAAACATGTCCTTAAAACAAAAAAAATCTGAAATGCAAAAATTTACAATATTATCAGAAAATTAATATATATATTTTAATCAAGCACAAGTTGTGTAAATCATGACGTTTCTGGCAGTCACAAATATTACAATCAGGAAACTATCATATTGTAATGACCTTCTTTACATGTCCCTATATCGAGATCATCACACAACAAGGGGTTCGAACGTACAGACATTGATGTCAGACACACGGCTTAAGAGAAAAATAAGGGATGGGACATGTTTTGATTATTCTGTTTGGAAACCCAACGTAAATATATAGGACCAAAAGAAATTAATGTTTGAAAATGCGTTGCAGGTTTTAGGGGCTTTATTTACCAGTAGAAGGGAATTTAAATTATGCAAGATAAATGACAGATATTTTAATGAACCAATGGAGATAATGAACAGTATTTAAGCTCAAAAGTCCATAAAAAAATATTAAATAGGAGTGGAGCAAACACGGACCTCCAAAACATTAGAGCTTGGATCAGGTACCATGGTTTGAGGGATATTTTCATATATAAACCAATAAATAAGATATTCTGCTTAATCCTATAATTTTGATTTTATTTTGTACATTTGAACTTGGGCGTGTTACATGTTTATACATTACACCTATTTTAAACAAAAAAAGCATTTAACAGAAACGTATTGATTTGCTGTTCTACTGACTATGTTTCCAGGTGAAATGGGTTTTCTGGACTCCTTTATCAGAGTTTTATTTCTGGTTTTGACACTGTGTTCGTCAGTTATGAGGAGTTCTTCTCATTCCACTTCCTCAACGTCATTCACATCAGATTATTATCCAATAAATAAAGCAACCATGGCTGCAACACATTCATCAACGTCAAGGAAACCAACACCATTGACATTAGAAATATCATCAAAAGAACCAACACAAACCACTATCACCACCGCATCCATCTTCACAAAATTCGAAAAAACAACAAACACTACAACACAACCTCAAACAACAATTATAGCTGACTTCACAACGCAGACGTCAACAACCACGACAAGCACAACAAGCCACAGAGCACAACCATCAACCCCAACAACACAAGACCCCATAACACAAAAATCAACCACAACCATAAATAACATATCAACTATTACCTTACCCGATCACACAACACAAACACAAGAAAACATGACACCCATGACACAATCAGGAGGCACGACAACAATCGACGACAAAGAAAAAACAATTGCCATGCCATCTGCAACTAATAAAAGCACAAATCCAACAACCATAACCACAAATGACCACAATACACAAACATTTACGAAAATTGCAAATGCATCTAGCAGTGCAACACAACCAGAAACCACGACCATATCTCGCCATACGGCAAAAACATCAGCTGCCGCGACAAATACAACTGGGATCACAACGCAAGCACCGATTGAAATTACACACAATACAGAAAATTCCACGGCAACAAAAAGCAACACAAAACAAGTAATAACTACAGACACATCTGGTCACATCACGGGAACATGGACTCCCACCATAACCAGCAACACAATACAACCAACAATTAATAACATATCTAGTCAAGCAAATGAGATCTTCACTCCAACAGCCACGCAGTCGAACATCTCATCACAACCCTCAACCACCGCCATATTTAACAACATTTCACAAACTTCGACTACAAAAAACACAACAAACCAACCAATAACCACAAAAATACCTGATCAAACAACTCATATTTCAACCTTAACAACAGCAACTTTCAACGAAACAATACTGTCGATATCATTATTACCCACAACATTGGGACAAGCATCAACGGAACAAAAACTTACTTCTGAACATGAATCAAAACAGACAACAAAGGAATATCATAATAAAACCATAGTTACGTCAGCAATACAGAACTCCTCGGATGAACACACAATGGATATCTTAGAAAGTACCACGTCAATAAGAAATAATACTTCTGGGCCATCCTCCATGCAAACCAAAACAACAGAGTCTTCATCTAGTACATCGAGTTCTGTAAAGCCTCTGACAACTAATTCCAATTCCAGAACAACGACTCTCAGTACTTCTATCCCCAAAACAACCTTACATCCAGAGAAAACCACGACGTTAACAATTCCCAACACAACTCTTGTTCCGACGGAAATACTTCTACTTGGTACTTTTTACTGCTTTATTGTTGTATGATTTGTTATATTTTATTCATATTGATTTGATACGAAAAAGCGTGTTCTTCATTTACAAAAAAAAAAAAAAAGCCAAGGCAACCTTTTGACAGACAGATTAATGATATAATGATATCAACAGCCTCGTTTGAAGCCAGCATTTTACAAGTTATTTTGTCGATAAAATGACCTTTCTTGCAGCAAATTCAATCTATCATTTAGTCAATTGCTGACCACCTTTTCATACTAATTGTTAGGACAAACACATTGTATTGTCGACGATTTTTCCAGCAAAGAGCACATGGCTGGTCGACAGGAGATGCTCACTCCTAATCCCACCTCTGATGATTTTAGAAGTCCGCGTTTGCATCTGATTTTTATTGATTCGGTAGAATTTGAGCTTTATAAATGTTTCTTATCTCAATTCATCATGAAAATTCTAAATTCACAGACTCTACTTTACTGTATTTTAAAGAAGGTTCTTCGTATATGTACCATGCTCATTTCCATTTCTTTTTATAATGTGAAACGTGATTTTTTTTAAATTGTCTGTAACCCCTATCGCTTATTGTAACAAATCCGCTCTTTTCCAGGGATCAACAATACCCTGAGTCTACAATTTACGATGCTAATCACCATAGACAGAAATGAGTCGGATTCAACATTCAAGAAAGCTATTTTTACCGATATGGTACAAGTAATGATTATGTCATTTACCTGATGATGTGAAATATATACATCACAGTCTTTGCAATGAAATTGTAAATTGTCAGCTTGTATGGATATCAAAATTTGTATCCACGTTATTAAAGTTATTATCTATCTCTCTTCTCAGTTGAAACAATATGTGTTTATTGGATACGAGGGCAGCTGTACTATTCTTGTCAGGTACTGACTACCTTTTCATCGTAACTTCAATTGAAATGAAAGTATCATATATTTTAACATTACAAAGTTATATCAATAGATAACATATCATCATATTATTCAAAACCTACAAATCATACATTTTAAGCTGGAATTTCGTCAAAATTTGTTTAAGAAGAGGTGTACAAAATCTTAATGCATTGCAAAAATCGCACAAAAGTCCTTCTGTTTTTAAAATGCTTTAGTCTTAGAAGGAAAAAAAAAGAAGTTGAAAACTACGTCGTGTATTTCCTTGGAAAATGAAAAGAATTCATATGGCATAAGCAATTTTATCTATTTTTCTTTACTATTTACAATTGATTCTACTTGTAGCGATCCTCCGAGGCATACTCTAAGATATCGGAGGGAGGAGAAGACTAATGCCTGGCCTGTCAGTCGTAGAGTCGGGGATCTGGATTCGAACTCAGTGACCAAGTAAGTAAGGAACCACGTATAGTCATTAGAGGGTTGTTTCTGTGTACACAGGTGGAGTATGTACACAGTGTGTATACTTATGTGAATGCGGTCGTAGTTCAGTTTATCAATAGGAAAAAAATTAACCTAATGATCCTGTGTAATTGTATAATATATCTTTTCAACCAAAGGAAGTTTTACTTATAAAGCATATAAAGAAAATCATCTGAAAATGATGGTTGTCAGTGTAAAATTTATTTTAGCAATAAAAACGCTCCTGTCCATTGCATTATTGTGTGACCTTGTAGAAACCTGATTATTTTCATATTTCAGTGAATCCCAATTTAATATTACAATCGATGTGGGTATTCCAGTCATAAAACTTCGGGAAAAAAATAAAACAATAAAAAAATTTGCGAGCGACATTTCTGATAATATTCGACAGAATATCTCAAACATTACATCTCTGGATTGGCGTGCTGTGAATATATCAGATGAAATAGAGAAACAACTACAAAAACAGACTAAGAGTAGGTAGTGTTTATCTAATATTCTTATATATATTTAAGATTCCAAAGCAATTACCTATTAACCAACCTTATTAAATACACATTAGGTAATAATACTTATTCAATGTATAGATATGACGGAATGTCATGCCTCTGGAAAGCTTTGTCCGTTGGGATACAACTGTAAACGCTCTAATGAAGACAGCTACACTGGAGTATGTGTCCACAGATGTGATCTGGAAACGATAGACTGTAAAAATGACGGTCATTGTATTTTTGACTCTATGAGGAATAAAACAGTTTGTAGGTAAGTAATGATATTACCGATTCAGCAGGGCTCGTTGCTATGAGCAATAAAATATATGAAAAGTATTCAAGCTAAAAGGTTAATAAAACAATACCAAAAAGGAGAGGAACTAACACGGACCTCAAAAACATCAGAGGTTGGATCAGGTGCCATGGAGAATGGAGGATCCTCTGCTGACCGGTCTCACCCGCCGTGTACTCCTTGGTATAATTGGAAAATAGCAAATAATATCGGTAGACAAATCAATGAGCTAATATTGACCTGACAATAAATATGAAAAACATAAGTCAGTACTTGATTCAATGATAAAATGATTTTGCTGAGAAGGTCATTGTTTCGACCTTAGAACTTATGAAATGATGACTTTTAACGAGAATGTTGATATTCTTGTTTTATCAACTTTGTTAATGATTGACCTCGCTTTAGAAATTGTACATATGTAGAGCATGCTCTTGTGTATCGAATCAACTGAGAGATATAAACCCCGTAATGATGGTATATTGGTGCATAAGGGAAGTTGACGATTGAAAAGTTTGTCATCACGTTTATCATAGAGCTTGTTGTTAGATTACCATTAACGTCTTTTTCAAGTAAAAAAAATCCTAAATATGAAACAGTTGTGTATTTGGTTAATTTTGAATTTACTTTGATTTCTATTAATACACCTTCCAAACACCGAAACCAATTGAAACACTTAAAATCTCTCATTCTTATTTGTTTTTTCTGAATTCTTAGCAATACCACAATATTATTGCAAAGTTTACCTTGTTTTGCGAAATAAATATCAATATCGTAAGAAATAATTTTACCGTCCGTAAATTGATTGATTGATTGATCGTATGTTGTTTAACGTCCCTCTCCGTAAATTGAAGGTTAAATAAAAAAAAAATTGTGATTTTATTTCATCTAATATGATTATCTGCTGATTGTAAATTGTTCATTCATTTGCTGAAAATTTAAACACAACTAAATTTAATGAATTTCATTACACGCATTCTTAGCATTATTTTTTTTTAAATCATAAATTTTGTTTTATCTATGGTCATTGGATATTTGAATAATTTTTATGATTTTAGCATTTATTTATTAGATGCTTGATGTCACAACTGACCTCAAGTTGTGATGGATTCTTTCAATTAGAATTTACAAACCAAAATAAATAATATTTTGGAAGACCTCCTGTGTACCAAGAAACAACAAGATTTATAAAAATTAACAATAAATTTATCTACATATGTACAATAAATATCAAATCGACCAAAAGTTCAATCATGGTTATCATGAGAGTTTCACACCACGTTCCAACGTCATCCAACGTCATCCACGGTCCACCATAATGTCCATATTGTCCCCGCCGGTCCACCATATCCCTAGATTTAGCCAATTTCCACGTAAGCAAATACTTCCGTCCAAACAAAAGCTTTATATACAATTTTGGTCACCTACAATTTTCATAGGGTTTTCTAATAAAATATTCAAAACATATCTGTTCAAAATACTAGATTTTACAAATTACAAAAGATAACATGTATTTTTGCCGTTTAAAGAATAAATGAATTAGAGCGTAAATATATACATTCTCACTATATTGCTAACAGTTTTACATAGAATATTGCTCTTTAAAGCTAACAACAAAAATATTGTAAAGTGTAAAAACTTACTGAGCTGTGGCATTTTATACATAAAAATCATATTGTCGGCCCCCAGGTCTTGCTCTCAACGCCGCTATCATAACTGAATCCCAAGATCACTCAGCAGGGGAAACGCACCAAAGTTCACACAGCATGGGTTATATAAAAGGCACGCCCAAGATCACAAAGCATGGGTAAAGTATAACTCCCGGCGTCCAGACCTCATCTGACGAACACTAGCCAACACCCAGTATAAATAACTGACCTTACTACTCAAACGGGTTCAAGCGTCTCCATATGAGTGAAAAATTCGCGAGAGGGACGTTAAACAATACACAATCAATCAAACGGGTTCGACGAGCATACGTTAATAAAAAATAGAACAAGTACAACTCAGTGACCAATAGTGCGTAAATGAAATAAACGATAACTCTTACCAATACCTGTACAATCAGCTAATATTAAAAATTGGCACAATGTCACTTGTGACACTTGAGTTAAAGTTTTTTTTAAGTATTCAGACAGCGAATGTTGTGTGACCAGTCAGCTGGAGATGCTCACTCCTTTATGGCACCTGATCCCATCTCTGATGTTTCGGAAGTCTGTGTTTGCTCTGCTCTAATTTTGTATTGTTTTATGGACTTTTTATCTTGAATACTGATCGTTATCTGCATATGTTTTATTGCAACAACAGTTGTCAATCGACTTGGTCATCCTTGTATTACGGCGCCGGTTGTGAGGACCAGACGGGGAAGTTAGAGACCGTGATAGGGTTCACCCTGGGATCCGCCTTGCTCCTGATTGTATTGGTCTTCATGGCGCTTCTCTGTTGTAGACGAAGTCATGGGGGTATCAAAGAATTCAGGTAAAATGAAACGTTGTCATGCATATTTACATTAATTGAAGCATTTAGCCATTTGGCCTCATGTAATTGGTTTAGCTAAATCCCGGGGTATATTAATTTCTACAGCATTTTATAAAAACTTATATATTATATAATCAGTAAACATACTATCCTTCTTTTCACACTATTTATTATACAGGCGACCTGGGGATAAGTCTACATTAGAGTCGGACTTCCTCTCAGAGACCGATGGAGTTCAATTCATGGACATCAACTACCGTAAATCTACGAAGTTCAATCCGAATAGCTTTGATGTCGATCCTGTGGTAAAAGTTATGGTAACAATGATTTATAAACGATATAGATATAATTTTTATTTTTAGGAACTTGCATTAAAATAACTAAACCCACCTATAGAGTTTTCAAAGATCTTTTTTCATGCCATTATAACTTTGTTGTATGTTTATAATTTTTTTTTTAGATCAATCACTGTTTATTTATAGTTATCTCACACCAAAGCATTATGTTGAATGTGACGACTTTAACTTTTCAATCGACAACTTCCCTTACTTATGAAGCAATATACCTTCATCACCTGCATACGAGCTTTATACCTCTCAGGTGATTCGATACGCAAGAGCATGCTCTTCATGTACAATTTCTTAAACGAGGTGAATCATTGACAAACAAGTTGATGAAACAAGAATATTAGCAGTCTCGTTTAAAGTCATCATTTTTAAATTTGTATTACCTTGTCAGCAAATACAATTTATCATTGAGTCAAATGCTTACTGACGTTCACATACTAATTGTTAATTAGTAATTATTTACGCACTCAATCGTCCTCGGATTTTCTCATTATTTCCCGAAAATGACAATTAAGGAGCACACGGCTATTTCCGGTCGTCAGGGGATGCTCACACTTGCATGACATCTGATCCCACCTCTGATGTTTTTGAGGTCCTTGTTTGCTCTACTCCTATTTTGTATTGTTCAAAGAACATTTGAGCTCGAATACTATTTCTTATTTTCACATATTTCATTTTTCACTTTTAAAGAATTGTATATGCTAGAAATTGAAACAATTCGTATGTTTTAAGCAAAGATTTCAACAAACCATTTGATAAAGGATACACTCCATAGAACATCAGGCCAATGATACAAGTTCAAATGAATTCTATTTTTTAGGACACTGACCAAGCAGGCGGAAACGTTTCTGAAATATTAGAGACATCAGGCTGCTCCACAATTTCTTCGGAAAACTCGGACAACTTCAGTCAAGTAAATGTAATAGGGCCATATACATGTACTATGATATGTTTGACAGAAAGTCTGGGTTTTCAGTTCAAGTTAACAAATACCAGTAAAACATAGATTTGTTACAGTCTTTTAATTTTAAAATTAAGCCTAAATTTTAAAACACGTCTGGGAATTTTACAGGAACATAAGCATCGGGAGTCCAGTGACTCTAAGGTCAGACAGCCTGGGGAAGAAGATTCTGTATGTTCTACCTTTGTCCCCAGCGCCTCTCCTCCAGCAGTTACATTGGAGGTAAAGCGGTTGTATTTCTTTCTTTTTTAAATTTTATTTAGGGAAGAACGTTTCCAGCGGTAAATTTACTTCAGAATATTAATACAATACAGTATTCAATTGAAAACACTTACGGAACATTTTTGCTGAACATTAACATGCTGTTCGAGGCTTTTCAAAACATTTAAAGTAATGAAATGAATGAAGATAATGTACATAATGTAAGATCAAAAGTCCATTAAACAATAGGAGCTGATCAAACATATAGGTCCAAAAAATCAGAGGTGGGATCAGGTGCAATGGAGGAGTGAACATACCCTGCAGAACGGCCATTCCCGCCGTATGCTCCTTTTCATAATCGGGAAACAACGGAAAACGTTGACAGTTTAGTGTTTTATTATTGGCCTGACGTAGAGTTTGAAAAACGGCAGTCAGCATTTGACTCAATGATAAACTGTATTTTATGACAAGGTCATTGTATCGACCATAGAACTTACGAAACGATGACTTTAAACGAAACTGCTGATATTCCCGTTTCATCAATTTTTTTGTCAAAACTTTACCTCGTTTTAGCTTTCCAATATTTTCCGATCATGACAAGGAGCACGTGGCGGATGTGACCGTCAGCAGGGGATGGTCATTCCTCCATGCACCTGATCCCATTTCTGATGTTTTGGGGGTCCGTTGTTTGCTCTGCTCCTATTTTCTATTGTCTAATGGACTTGTTACCTTGAATACTGATCGTTATCTCCACATATTTTATGATTTTATGCAATTCAGTTTCCAATTGTACAGATTTCCAGAACTTCTACTGAAACAAACCCGGAGAACAGAATTAATCACGCACGAAAGTCTTTTCTGTTTGGGCCTTGAAATTTTCAATCCATTAGATTGTACAGGGGTAGCATTTGTATACTTGTTTTTCATGGAATTTTAATGAACAAATTAAAAGAGAGAAACTGTCAAATGAAATACCCCTCTCAGTAAAACATCTGCAGTGTTTAAACAGATAATTATCAAGTTTTGTAATTTTTCTGCCTACATAAACTATGTTTAACGTTCTTGCATTGGATAATATTGTGATGTATGTCAAATATCCTGTGATAATAGTCTTGTGATGTTTGTTTGATGATGTATGTTTGATAATCTTGTGATGTTTAATATATTGTTCTCTGAAGAATTTAGTTTCCAATTTTTGCAATATTTGAAAACAAAAAAAGTTGTTGTAACGATTAATTTTCGCAAACCCGAGAAGATATATTTATAGGAGTCCATAAAATATTGATATTTTTTACCACACGAATATTAGTTTGATTATATTTTCCAAATTTTTCATACTAGTTGTTAGTCCATTATTTATACATGTAGACTGAATTGATGACGGATTTTTCCGTTATTTCCCAATCATGACAAGGAGCACACACAAGGGCGGGTGTGACCAGTAGGCAGGGGATGCGCACTCCTCCATGGCACCTGATCCCACCTCTGATGTTTCGGAAGTCCGTGTTTGCTCTCCTCCTGTTTTGTATTGTTTATGGACTTTTGATCTTTAATACTGTTCGTTATTCCCTATCTTTCATTGTAAATGATTTAATTTGATTTTTTTTACCCTCATTCTAACCACAGAGTGATTATTCCAAAAATCTGCACATTGGAATACTGTAGAATCATCATTGTTCGTGGGGGACCGATGTTCGTGGATTTCGTGGGTCACCCATGCCCACAAATTTACATCCCTGCGAATGTTTTAAAATTTGTTAGCATATTGATTCATTGAACCATCGTATTTACGAGTAACCTCGAATTTATGTCCGCAAGAACAAGTCAAAATTTGCTTACCCACGAAAATTGACTCCCACGAATTAAAATGATTCCACGGTATTAATTAATTTAAGCTATTGTAAAAATATTGTTTTCAGAAGGTAATTTTAAACTTGTATATTATATGTGAATATCTTACCAGTAATTGTAGCTCAGTCTGAATCATGGGCATTGTTACGAAATGAAATGAGATTTTGTGCTCTGTATTTCTTTGACTTTTAAAAAGAGTTTCTATATATTCTCTTGTTAAACCTTTGATACCCTACTATGAAGTTTTTTATGCAATATTCATAGTTTCTGATAATGGATCAAGTAATTTTTATAAGAAGATGAGTTTCGCTCAAAATATGCCCAGTAGTTTTTGGAAAAATGCAAATATGTTTAATATTAAGTTTATAGAAAGACATATGGGCATATGGATTGACAAATTCTAATAAGAGAAATCCACTTGAACCTTTGCGTGCTAGCTAAACTAACTCTCTTATGTAAACCAACCAATTAGTAAGCTGATGAAATTTAACACTAAAACCTAAATTAGAGTGTTTTTCATATTGTCAGAAAAAGTCACAATGCATATCAAGTACAAACTTTATATGCCTCAATAAATTTCTGTTCCCTTTAAAGATATGTACACAGCAGTAAGATACGGATTCTGATCTTTTAATTCATATGCATAATGTACATGTTATTAGCATGAAAAACAGTCTCTTTACAGTTTTAAATAATATCAAGAACTTATCCAACACAATGCAATAATAAAAAGGTTAAAGTTTTCCAAAATAAAACCTATAATGAAAACAGAATTCAAGCTTTCTAAATATAGACATTGAAAAATTTGAACAATTTCACAAGGAAAATGGCGTCCAATACCTCGAACAGGTGAGACATAACAAGATATACTTGTGAAATACTAAGTGCGTTTTAAAATGTTTGATACATTTTATATAATGATATACGTATTTCAATTTTTATCAGTGAGAGAAGTTATCAGCACTTTTCAGTGTCTGTTTATTGGGCTCTGCATAAAATAGTGGGATCTCCACACCAGGTGGCGATGAGGAGAGATCTCCTGGATATTGTCAATATATTGGACAATCATACCAGGGCTATTGTTGTGTCATCTTGCATAAGTGGAAGCAGCGGCGAAGGATTCAGGCTTAACGATTCCGATGTGGATATCATAAATTGGCCAAATAATCATCGAGTGATTTGGGATTTATCTCAGGTCCAGTATTACAATGTACGAAAATGTGGGCTAATTGTTGCAGACAGTTCTGATAGCCCACCAGGCTACACTTTACTCTGCTTACCAAAACTTAATACATGGTTATCAAATAATATTTTATTCTCTTGTATCAGAATGAATGATAGATATTATGTATCTAGTTGTTTACACAAAGAGTATATGTCTTCTTTAGTGTTATCTGATTCTGTAATACATGGACCATGCAATCTTCATGTTTCCAGGCATTTTGATTTTGATCATGCCAACTGTTTTGCTTGTGACTTTTGGTCTCCATCTGCCTCTACATGGATAGACAGATGTCACAGTCACTCGTGGCCAAAACCTCGTGTTGTTCATGACATCATCACTAGTGGATGCCATGTTGTAGCAGTAGGACACCGTCTAGGAAATCATCAAGACAATGAATGGAGGATATCCTTTTCGAAGGCAGAAAAAAGGCTCGTCCATACCATGAACCATTGCCAATTTTTAAGTTATGGCTTGCTGAAACTATTTTTAAATGAAGTCATAAACTTCGAATCAAATGATGAAAGTAAATTATTGTGTTCCTATCACGTGAAGACAGCTATTTTCTGGATGCTACAAGAAAACATTATGTCGCAATGGAACCCACAAAATCTCCTGGAGTGTTTCTGGGTTTGCTTTAAGCTCATTCTGAAGTGGGTGTATGAGGGAGTGTGTCCAAATTTTTTTATTCCAGAAAGCAACATGTTTTTGACTAAAATCTATGGACATTCACAAGTAATGTTATTGACACAGTTGTTTACATTATATGAAAATGGTCTATCCTGCCTGCTACTGAGTCCATCCATAAGGTCCTTTATCGTAAAAATAAATCATATTTCCACTCTCTTGCACGGTATAGATGAAAGCTTTTTGATCTCTGAAGCTGACTTTGATAAAGAACTATTCCAAGAGATAGAAAAAAATGATCCCTCATCACTTCATAATGATTTTGGCGGTCACAGACGGGTCTTGTACCAGATAGAAAAAATGATGAGTTTCCCCCTCTCAGAGTACCACCTTGTCATGCTACAAAAATATGCATCAGAAATCCTTCAGCGAACCGCATTCTTGGTATATATGTTTACGAGCTACAAAATCCATACTGAAGTTAACAAAAACAAAGCAATATACATCTCTGATAAGATTTCCTGTCGCATGCTGAAATTAGCTTCCAAGTTAGGAAGTATTTCTGCCAAATTGTACCTTGCCATGTATTACTACCAAACATGCAGATACAGTAAAGCATTATCTATCATAAAGATGGCAAATCTCAAAGTATCAAAGCCGTTTCCCGTGCACATGTTTAACATTGACCCAGATAGTTATATGGAGGCTGTAGGCGGAAGGTCATTATCTACAAAATTTAGGAAAGTTGTAGCAAACAAAGTCCAACTTCTCATTGATACAGCTTATATCAATGAGTTAGTAGTTGAACAGCTGTCTGCTTTACAGAATGGAGAGGAACGAATATTTATCCCACCTCTCGTCCTGTCTCTTATGTTAGAGCTCCTTTGTAACAGACACCTTGACACTGTACGTGCCCAAAAAGCTCTAAATGATCTACGGGCCCTAGTTCACGATGACCAGGGGACACATATACCCCCAGTACTCAGAGACATATCATGGCAGATCCTAGGAATTTGTCAACAGATCACAGAACATCTTCAGGATGCTCTATATTCCTACCAGCAATCGCTCAAACAACTTCCAGTGAGTAACATAACAAATGCTACACTAATACGAATTATAATTTTGATCTACAGACTTTTATTTCCGGATAAGTGTAGTTAAGAAGTTTTCGACACTGTATCATGATAGAACATAGCTGGGATTCTGTCAACAGCTTACAAGGGACCTCTAGGCTGCTCCAACTATCTATTACGACAATGTCCATTTTATAAATTACGAACTGCAACATTAAAGAGAATAAACAGAATTATATTGTAGATATTTTAAATTGTTCCTGTGACTTAAATGTCATAAATGTATTTTGTTTTAACTTATTGATATGTTTGATGTAATGAATACATATTTTTGTTTTTTGATATTGAATGTTGAATACTGCATAAGCAGATACTTTAGCAAGGATTCAGACCGCATGAAGAAAAAAAATCCATTTGTGGAAAAACATAGTTTATGTAAGACGAATTACTTAAATAGAAAAAGTATAAAAGAACAAAAGTTGTTAGTGATTGAAGTACTGTATATAGGAATTTTCTTTTAATATACGAGGGTTGTTCGAAAAGTTCGTGGACGATGTCAATCTTCGTTATATTACTCACTAGAAATTTAAAATAAGCACAATATAACATGCAAAAATAATTTTTTGTTGATATGTAAAGTTTCATTCCATTCAATTTAGCAGAAATCAATTTACTCCATTTTAAAATCAACATGTTTGGTACCCGCGGAGCACACTCAGTGGCAATGTAACGTCGAAACAGCGTCAAGAATTTCTAAAAAAAAAAAATACTATCCCTATACATTTCACACAGTATAATCCAATGTCCACTCATTAAATCCTTTTCCCAATACTTGAGATTTATTTTTTTTTTCAGAATTGCTCTCGTTGTATAGTTTCCTTTGTTAAGGTTTTAAATACTTTTATTATTTAACTCCGCTTTCACAGGATAAGCAACTCTTAAGCGCCTAAGTGTTTCTTAGACGTTCCAACTTTTTAAAATTTTTGGTCAGACTTTTACAGTTTAATTGTTTCTTCACATATTGTTCTGATCCGATACAGAGTCTCTGTCACTCAAATACTGCCTGGACTATTTGTACACACATGCATAACTCGCTTGTGACATATTTTCTTGATTCCTCCAAGACTTTTTGAGTTTATTCAGGATTTTTCCTGACTAAAACACAAAATTTCATCTTTATATTTGCTCCTTGACGTTTTAAACGTCATCGTTTTTGTCGTTTTCAATAAGGAATATGCCTTAAATATGCCTTGAATATCTTTTAAAGTTGATTTCTTTTCAACAAAGCAAAATATAAAGCCATAATTTGGTATAAGATTCGATAGAACAATTCTTAATTTAAATTTATAGGTTGTTTTTCGTTTTTGTTCCATTTAACAGAGAATATGACAACAGATATTATATAGTGTATTGTCTGTAACTTATTAAATTTCGACCTGCTCCGCGATCCGATTTTTGCAATTTTTAAAATTAAATTAGGTTTTGAATAAATAGTAATATTTTGAAAAAAAAATTGAATACTGCTTAATTCTTCCAAATTTGGATAACGTTTGACGTCAAATAAAAAAGATATGACAGTTGTCCACGAACTTTTCGAACAACCCTCGTAGTTATATTTTATGCGCTGAATGTTTTTTTTTAATATCTTGAGCTGAATTTTGATGTTTTATATGTTATCGAGAAAGAAAGATAAAGATATTGTTTTACGTCAGCAACACACAAGAACTTCAGCTGTTATATCCATAAAAACAAGACTTTAAAAAATTTTAATTACTTCACTTTTATCATTTCTTGCCATGAACTCAGCAACACACAAGAACTTCAGCTGTTATATCCATAAATATAAGACTTTAAAAACTATTTTAATTAGTTGTCAGAGCCAGACTCCGTGTAAAGATTCGTGTCTTTATATAACGGTCGGAAAGCTATGAACTGTACATGTAGAGAAAACAAATAGCAAGTAAGCTCAATATCCATCAAAACAAAAGAAATAGGGAGCAGAGCAGACAGGGACCTCTAAAAGCATGAGCTGGGAGCAGGTGTCATGGTGAAGAAAGCATCTTCTGTCAAACGTACACACCTGCCGTGTGCCCATGATTTGCCATGATCATGCTAACTGAAAAATCCTTAGACAGTTCAGTTTGTAAAAAATAGCCTGACATTTAGTTTGATAAACGTCAGTCAGCATTCGACTTATTGATAAATTACGTGTACACTGAAGCGCATGAAGTTGTAAATTTTTTTGTTTGAGTGGAAAGTATGCGATTAGGTGTTTCGTTTCTTATCGAATGTCAAAATCTACGTAATGGTAGGCCTACGCCTATTATATTAGAAAGAGGGAAGAAAATCCGATATCTAGTCTTTTGTAATTAAAATGTTTGGAAAAAATAGTTTACGTATATTTGGAAAGAAAACAAGGTGTGAATTTCAGCTTTAAAAATTGTTAGAATTCAAAACAGGATCTTTTGAGAAAAAAGGGTATTATTTAGATTCTCTGCCTCAGTTGCTTTGTTGGTGAGAATAAACGGGTAGTTTGACAAGTCTTTTGTTTCGTAAAACGTGACTGTCTAAAAACCCTATGATTTGCAATATCCATAATCACAGATCTCAGTCCGTTTTCTGGTGTCGAAAAATCCAAATATATAAACTTTCCTTTTCTTTTTCAAATAGGCATTTTATTTCAAATATCAAATAATAAATAAAGGCCATTAAGGTTAATACGGAAGCCTTTTAAAAATAACGAGTGCGAGTTTCACAATTGTAATTATGTGTTTGATCCCTAATTTCATAGATGCATTTTTTCTACCTACGACTGTCGCATTGATCAAATCACATTATACAGAAATTCTGCTGTATGCGCATTTAAGAACGATGCAAAACATCCAATGGAGCAGGAGGTTGACTATTATGAAAACGTCGTTCCATGGAATATATGGAGGTAACGAACAGTATTCAAGCTTATAATTCCATTCAAACAATGCAAATCAGGAGCAGAACAAACACGGACCTCAGAAACATCAGAGGTGGGATCAGGTGCCACGGAGGAGAGAGCATCCCCTGTCGACAGGTTACAACCGTCGTGTGCTCCTTGTCATGATCGAAAAATAACGCAAAAATCCGTCGTCAATTCAGTGTGTAAATGATGGATTAACAATTAGTATGAAAAAAAATGTCAGTCAGCAAATGACTCAATGATAAATTGTATTTGCTGATAAGGTCATTGTACCGACCATAGAACTTACGAAATGATGACTTTAAACGATGCTGCTGATATTCTTGTTTTATCAACATGTTTGTCAATGATTAACCTCGTTTTAGAAATTGTTCATACTTAGAGTATGCTCTTGCGTATCGAATCAACTGAGATATATAAACTTCGTATGCAAGTGATGAGGTATATTGCTGCAGAGGTTAGCGAAGTCATTTATCATAGAAATTGGTTGTTAGATTACCATTAAGTCTTTTTCAAGAAAAATATCCAAAAATGAAAGTGATGTGTCAGAATCTGTAGTATCTTTTATCTCAAGCTCACTAAGATATATCGTATTGACATAAGAATGGATATTACCATTTAAGGAATGAAGCTTATTTCAACTTATGTTATCCGATATAACATAACTTGGGGCAGTTTACGCTTTATAAACCGCGAAGCGGTAATTTCAGTGTAGACAATGAGACAATGTTTCCTCCAGAAAAAGGCTTCAAAGTGAGCATAATTTTAAAAGTAACGTCAAGCGGAGTGATACGTTTTTGACGTAACTCATTGTGACGTAGGCAAGTTATGTTATACGAAATGGATAAAACCGTTTAACGAATCAAATGACGCGATACAACTGAAATTGAATTATTGTTAATTGGCAGTACGTCATCGATATATCTAAATGTCGAGTTGAAGGTCACGGCAAATGTTTTCTTCTTTTCACGCATAAGATTTTGAACAAAAATGCTTCATAGGAATGCAGAAATAGGTCTGCTAATAACGGGGCGCAATTGGTACCCATGGGAATTCCAATAGATTGTTGGAAGACCTGGTCTCCAAAAAACGACATAGATATTGTAACAGGGTTCTTGGAATAACAACATCGTTTCTGTTTTAGTTGATTTTATTAATAGTACAAGTATAAGTAGTAGTAGACCCTGTAATAACAATAACAATTATTAGACAAGATAAAAAATATGTATACAACTGCAATATAATATTTGTTATCATTACAAATTCATACTTTATAGTTCATATTCTCTTTGTATTAAATTTATATAAAAATAATTAACAGTTCTTTATCACAGATCAATTCATCATAAATTAAAATAATTCCTTTGACAATTTAGTAATTTAAAATAAAAGAAATTCATAATAATTTATCATAATCATTATCTGATTTTAAATAATTTAGAATCAAATAATCTTACTGAACATTTACACAGAAATACGATTTCATGCATTGGACTGAATACAAATGAAATTCAATTCAACACAAAATATAAACATGCAAGACAAATACTCAAAATAAAGTTCTGTCAACACATACATATAATAGAACAACACAAACATAAAACACATAAATTACCTTCAATATGGTCAAAAGGTCTTGATAATACATACTACCACATATGCATACACATGCATGTCAGTCCTAGAAAGAATGCATAAAAATGAGTAATCTCCCTTAGCTGATATAAAAATCTTTAATAATGATAACTGATTAATTTAATGAAAAATACCTATGCTTTAAATTGGAAAGATTATTTAAATTATATGAAATAAAAGATAAAATTCCTAATTTTACGATAAATAACATTATAGTTATACAAGCCATTTACAAAACTAGTTTTACAACTTTACACTTATTTATTCATTTCACTCAGTCCTACATATATACAATTTCATGACTGAATCAGAGTGAAATGTCATATAAAATATTTATGTTTCTCATTTACACATGTAAACAAACTCTCAAAATCTCACTCACCATTCTAACACCTTTTTCACTCATTTTCACACAAAATCACAATCATACAAATAATATAACAACAGACCTGAGATCCTTTAAATACACCCTCCATGAAAATGTAGATGAAGTGAATATACAACTGAACACCCAAAACAGGAAACTTAGGGAATCACTGAAATACACACTGTCCTCTTGGACACAAAGACTGATATGACCAGTTCTACCCAAAAATAAATCAACCAACAAAGAGATTTGCCTCCAAAAAATTGACCAATGAAATCTCATTGTCGGGTCACTTCATAGGTCACTGACCTCTCAAAGTTTTTAGCTATAAGTAAGTATAAGGGAAAACTTATATCTAATAATTCTTAATTAATTTCTAAATAA